AAATCTATCAAACAAGGGGTTTGCCCCAAAAAAGATTTGCTAGTAGGAGCCACTGTCCCTAACTACATGTCACCTAGAGGAATTCACCCTAGCGAAGGAGAGATTATTACGTGCGAAGTTTGGATACAGAGAATCATCCAGTTTTATGATTGTGAACAATAAAAGCATAGCTATGAACAATAAAAGTGCAGTGGTGAACATTAACTACGTTTTTATTGCACTTTTATTGTTCACAGTTACAAAATCGGATGGTTGTCTATGTCCGGACTCCACACGTAATAATCTCTCCTAAAGAAGAGTACTCATCTATGTTGAGGGGAAACTCACTTTTATTATAAGGCCATTCGTCCAATAGGTAGGAGATTCTCACCAACCTTTATTCATCAATAATCAAGCCAACATCTTAGCCAGAAGACTTACTCATTGCAAGCATTCAGCATTATAACCACCACAGTCATGCCCACATCTATTTAATAATCAAATTATGCATTTATTTTATTATTTCTTAGGTGTAGCCTCTCTCGTAGTTTTTCGAACCCTAAAATACAAATTTGAGAGGCATTTAATAGACTTAATGCCAATTAAATAGGGCTTCAAAGCTGTTTATTAATCTTACTCGCCTACCTCTTCCATTTTTTTCGCTCTAAAATAGCTTATTTAGCCACATATAGAGCATGGGATTAGTTATTTGGAACAAGAGTGATTTAAGGTAAACTTAGCTTGATCCCCTACTAAATATGCTAATATCTTTGCATTTAACATCACATATGGCTTATTTAAGATGCTCAATTATTCATCAATCAGTCTGAGATTTTAATACACATCATTGATGCAAGGGGAAGGGCAGGTGAGAATTTGTTGGCTCATTAACCCTAAATCTTGCTTTGATGATGATATACTTCAATGGGAGGAGTTTCACTGCCGACATTGCTCCCACTTTAATACTTTATTGATGTATATTGATTATTCATGATATGTGGGGACTCATACATGCAAGGTGAAGTTTTAAAAAATGTTTTCATTCTAAGGCTCATTTAGGATAGTTTTAGACCACTGTTTTTTTCCTGCTTTCAAGAGATTTTTATATGAAAAAGTAGCTTTACAGAGCAATAAAAAAGCCGTCTCAAATGAAGCCTTGGAACGATTTTTTTCTGCTTCTTAAAGCAGCTTCCTAGCTCAAAAACTTTAATTTTTGTAATAGAAAACTGTTTTAAGAAGCAATAAGAAAGCTACCCCAAACGAAGCCTAAGTCTTGCTATTGAGTGATGAATAATTGGATCCGAATAATATGAGTTTTTTTTTTTTAATGTTAATGTGTATGCTTGCTTTTGTGTTTGTATTGAATGAAGTTTGAGTTGATTGGCTATATAATTATATGAGGTTTAAATATTTTGAGATTGTCTTCTTGGTTTGTAATGGATGATTGATTAATGAGTCAAGTCGAGTCAAGTATCTGCCTAATCAAGCTGAACTGGTTTAATTCTTATTGAACTTGAGCTCGAGCTAGCTCAGCTCATTTACTGAGCACAAACTCTGCTCGTTAAAAAAATTTTAGGCTCAAGCTCATTTGAAAAGCTCTAGATTGACTGGCTTATTGAGCTCAATTTCTTTGTTTTGGATTATAGTTTTCAAATTTTTTGTTTAGTTTTAATATACAAATGAAAATGCAAATATACAAAAAAAATTTAAATTATTAAAATATATTATACAATACTAATTGAAAATTAATTTTTAAATACATTTTAAGGTAATGGAGCTCTTTACAAGATTACGAGTTGAGCCAAGTTGAGCTCGATCTCGAGCTTGATTTAGAGCTCAATTAAACTTGACTTGTATGATATATGAGCTCAAGTCTAAGGTCAAATTCAAACTCATGGATCAATAAGATTGACTCATGAGCTCATTAATAAGTCAAATTCAAGCTCTCTTAACTCACACCCCTATAGTTTATCAAACCTAATTACATACTTTATTTTAACTACCCTAACTGCATCATCCAAGAGGACCACAATGACCTAAAAATTAAAGCCTAATTTTAATTAGAAAAGCCTGCAGTAATCATATAGTTGCATCATCCACACAAGATATTACCTATTAAGCGTGCCTTATTGTTCATGGACTTATAAAAAACCTTATTGTTCATGGACTTATAAAAAATAATTATAGGATAGGTAATTAACAGTGAAGCTTCTAGATGAATTAAGATTAACGGTCAAAAATTCAAAAAGTTTGGTGCTGCTTGCTAATAACTGCGCCTAACTCCAACACCAAACGGAAGACCGAGATTAATTTTCTTATTAATACAGGAAATTAATGGATTAGATTTTTGAAAGCTCTGCTTCTTGAGGGGTCTATCGCCCTTAGTATTAATGGCCCTTGTCAAGGACTTTAATTGCCATGCTTAATTGCATGAGCCCCACCCTCACCAAAATTAGATAATCCTCTTTGAACTAATTAAGAAAAAAAGGGCATCTTGAAGAAGGGAGTTTAATATTGGCTCAAATTGTTACTATGATTTAATGCTTATAATATATATTATTGCATGTAAATGGAGGAGGAGGATATGGACTATGGAGGCCTCAAGATTGATGAATGATGTCCGACAATGATGGGTGTTCGAAATTAATGGCCAAAAAGAACGATGGGTGGCGCTGTATCTAGGGCAATGGAGAGCGGTCAGCAGGATCGTTTTCTTAATTGGATGATCGAAAAAATCACGAAAAAGGCTGTATGAAGAAGAAATTAGAGATGACTAGTCGGCATAAAGGTGCTTTGGATGTATTTGGAATTCAAAATTTCTTGGCAACATAGGAATCATGCATATAACAAAATATGGCTTAAATATGTTGAATCATAGTCAATATAAGTAAATTTTGTGAGATCATTTCGATGCTTTTTTATTGAAATCTACCAATTGAAATCGAATTGAATGGTTTGAATCACACTCTCCTCCTTGACCTAGAAATCTAATGGGGATCCCAATGTTTGGATAGCATGGGGAAGGGGCGTCAATGGTGGTTTGACAATGACCATCAAAAAATGTTGTTTGCTAGTTCTAAGAATAATGAGTTTGATGGAGTTAGCATATTAAAATTTTAATGATCGGATTATCCAAAATAACTTCAAGAAGATTTAGGGCAACAATTTTGATACAAAAAAATCTCTTTGAGAGCAATCCAATATTATAAATTGCTAATGAATTGAAGCCATAAAAAAATATTACTCTTGGGCTACCTTAATAGGCCCTTTTAAGGAAAAATTATTAGGTGCGGAGTGCGCATCGTCCGCACAAGCACTGGGTACCTAGCGGTACCCAGCGGTACCGAGTGGGGTACTGTTAGGTACATAATGCTTGTGCGGACGGTTCTCTTGGTCCGCACTTCGCACCTAATAATCTCTCCCTTTTAAGCTAGGGCATATCAGTGTGATCATCATAAAATCAAATTTCAACTACTCAAGCTTCATTTTGGATGGCTTTCTTACTGTTTCTTAAAAAATTTGTACTAAAAAACTGCGTTAAAAAGTAATAAAAAAAATCATCCCAAATGAAGACTTAGAGTTTGTTTGGGACAGCTTTCTTACTGCTTTTTTAAGAAGCATTAAGAAAGTCGTCCCAAATGAAGCCTTAGGCTTCGTTTGGGGCGGCTTTTTTACTGCTTTCTAAAACGGAGTTTTAATACAAAAATAAAAAATTTTGTACTAAAACTCTGTTTTAGAAAGCAATAAAAAAGCTGTCCCAAACGAAGCCTTAAATTAATTGAAATAATTTTTTTTTTGGGAAAGAAATAATTTCATAAATGCTCATATATATATATAATTTAGCATCATTAATGAAATATTACAATGATATACCACAATTTTAGCATAAAAAATTTGCATCCGAGAGCAATTCAATGCAATAAATATTCATATATCATTGTCAAGTAAATTTTATGAGTAGATATCAAGAATAAATTCGGACACCAGCAAATGACGACTGACTACCATTTCATTTATAAGATATTTATTTTATCGAGAGCAATTTAATACCATAAATGACTCGTAAATCAGATACTTATGAATTAAAATTTAAAATACCAATCAACATACTGCATAAAATTCAAGTTAGAGAAGAAGGTGAGTTAATGTAAATTCATAAAATTAGAGCCTGTTCTTCAAAATAATTTATAAAAAATTATCAATTACATCTTGAAGAGCTATGAGATTCATAATCAACATTTATTTAAAAAAAAATATAGCTCATCTTGATCAATTGGCTAAGAGCTTTGGCTAATAACTAAGAGGTTGATATTTGATCTTATGTGTGTGATATGTGTATGAGTTTGCCTTCATGACCTAAATGTCCCAAAAAATATATTTAAAAAATTTACTCTCTTAGTGATATGTTCATGTATTGTAAATTTCAAGTACTCTAACCGGACGTTGGCACGCTAAACTAATGTTTGTCGTTTGTGTGCTGCTCCACTCAAACGCAAAACCTACGGTCCTAAATCATTCTCGTAGAGTGAACAGTGCGACGCCACTATTGACGTCGCACTGTTCACAAACACAATTTTTTTAATAAAAAAAATATTCTAAAATTATTAAATTTAAAAAATTATTATTTTTTATATTTAAAATAAAATTTAATTAAATAGAAATTAGATCATCTCAAACCAAACAACATACCACCTTATGTCGTCAGTCATTTAGTCCATTTGAACTCCAAATATCATGCCAAAGTTCGGCATCTGAACAGTGCGACGTCAATATTAGCGTCAGACTGCTCACCTACATCAAAAAATTGGGCTACGAGATTTACAAAAGAAGCATGCGAAATAGAAGAAAAGCGCGAGAAAGAGGAGAAAATGTTTATCTTCGTAGGAAGCACGAGAAAGAAGAAAAAATGCTGTTGGATTGTAGAGGAATTATTGCATAATGAAAAAAGAGTTTTTCAACAGGAGATGACCTAACACTCACCATTTATTGAATGATCAGTATGAAGAAATCTTCAGCTACTTAAATTTCAACTAATGAGGCTTTATGCTTTATAGCTTGAAAGCTCGGTACAGCAATAAATGCATGAAATGCTTCTGCGCTCATCCGATTTCAATGACTCTTCACATCCACAAGCAACATTCAAAACCCCAAAATTACACATCAGCCCCTCATTGTCCTCCGCGATTATTTCTACCAGCCGCATTAAATCCTCTCTCGCCATTAAAAAAAAAAAAAAAGCTTATTTATATCCTCAACCTCCTCAATTTCTCTCTAACTACCCATCTTCTTCCTCTTCCTCTTCTATTTTCCGAGGAACGGAATAAACAAACCCTAGCTGCAGAAAGTTAATGGCCGCGGATGTGACAACGATCGTGCGAATAATGGAGGCGCACAGAGAGGATGATGATGGGAAGCGGCGGGGGATCGTAACACGTGACCTCCTCGGCGACGGTGCCATCGCCGTTGCCGTCGGATCCTCGACGGAGCTTGACCTTGACCTGCATGTTCCATCAGGATGGGAGCGCCGCCTCGATCTTAAGGTACTTCTCCGTTCCCAAATCTCAATACCAAACCATTCCTATCAAATTATGATCGATCGAATCCTTATATCAATTCTTAGTTTCGTAGGAGCATACATAAGGTATCGAGAAATTTCTCGTCAATTCATCGCGATGAATTTTATCTGAATTTAAATTACTTCTGTGATTCTTTTGTAATAAATCAATTCAATGCAATAGAATTTATATATATAAAAAAAGTCATTGGTAAACGGCGGCAACTTTTCTGAGAAGAATTGTTTCAACTAACTAGAAAAAAAAAATAATGAAAGATTTTTACTGCTGGCTATGCTGACAAAGATTAAGCTATTGTGGTTTCTGACGTGACAGATTCTGATTTTCCTTAAAAATTTTAAACTAATTAAATTTTAGTAGATGTCAGCTAGTTATGAAAAATATGCTAAAATGTTGAATTACAATTCTTAAGAAAAACAAATAATTTTGAACATAATAAATTTTAAAATTATTAAATTTTATTTGAGATGAATACAATTAATCAGCTAATTTTTACATTATATTCATCTTAAATTAAATTTAAAATTTTGAAAATAATCAGGATCAAATTTTATTAAAATATCTTTATTGAATTTCTGCTTGAATTTATCATTTAATAAACAAAAATTTTAACAATTTTCGAATTATGACCAATTTCGTGGTTTAGTCCATGCCTCTATTATCGGATTCGATCAATCATTCTCGAACTCTACGACCTCAATCCGCAGCCTCCCGATTCCCGAACATATTACACATCGAACCAAAATTTCAGATCAATTGCTTAACCCTAATTTCTGGATGCAGTCGGGGAAGACATACCTTCACAGACTATACTCCGATCAACCCTCCCGCGAACTCCATGACCTCAATCTCCCCCCTCCGTCGTCGTCATCGACCTCCTTACCGGAGCATTCGACCCTCCTCGATCTAAAGCTCTCGGGAGGAGGAATCTCCAATGAGTACCAGAGTGTTTGCACGCTCGAGAAGGTTAAGTCAGCATTGGAGCGGGCTCATCGAAGGCAAATCGATTGGGAAACTGTTTGTGCTTCCGGATCGCCATCTTCGTCGACAACATCGTCTTCGGTGAAGAGACTAGGGGTGGCGGAGGAAGACGACGGAGGTTCAGATTCGACCGGCGGAATGTTGGCGGCTGCGTGCCCCAGCTGCCTTTTATACGTGTTGATATCGAAGGCGAGCCCGCGGTGTCCGCGGTGCGACTCGCACGTGCCGGTGACGGTGCCGTTTTTCCCGAAGAGGCCCAGATTTGATCTCAACTCTTCTTGATTGGCAATTGTCAACTAAAGAAAAGAATATCTGATCAAATTTTTATTCGATAATTTTTGAATTTATTGTATTTATTTTGGGATGATTGATATATAATTTTAATTATTTTTTTTGCAATAAATTCAATTATTTTGAGTTAGATTATTATTATTATTATTAAATTTGATATGAATATCTTTTCTTTTTTCCCAATACAAATACTTTTGTCATTTGGAGTATGTTTTGAAAATATGAGATTTATTGATTTATATTATTGAAATTTAAAAGAAAGTCTATTGTTTCATTGAGAATTTAAGTGGGGAGTCTTTGAATTTGTTTTTAAATTAATTTAATATAAATGTTTATGGATTTTTAAGAAAGTATAATTATTTTAAAAAATATTAAAAATTATTTTGAGAAACAAAAGATTTATTTTTCAGCAATAAAAAGAAAATATAGAAAAAAAATAATTAAAAAAAATATTCCCGACAAGCTTATTGGAATATTGGGAAAGGAATTGGTCAATGGATAGTGAAATAGTTGAATTTGTATTTTTTGAATTTGACATTCGGACACAAGTCATCTTAGTCTGTTGGTTGTGAGCTTAGAGTATTAACTAATAGGTCTTAAGTTCAAGTCTTATATATGTGATGTGTGTGAATCTGCCTTAATTAGCCAAAATGTCAAAAAAAAAAAAAAAAAAGAATTTGACGTTCGGCAGCTTATCGCCCATAAATTTGAGTTTATAGCATACTCTAGTTAATAATAGTGAATAATTAATAACACAGTTTATCTTAGTTTATTATGTGATATGTGTGTAAATTTGTCTTAATTGGCCTAAATGTCCTAAAAAAATGTAATTATAGATGAATTTTATTATGAATTTTTTTGACATTCATGGATATATGAAAATAAAAATTATCTTGATCGAGCACGAATCTTGATGCAAATATGCATCAGAAGTTTCAAATATTAAAATTTGGATCATCCAAACTCTCATTTCAGCAAGGTTATAACCAAACTAAATGTCTCCAAGAGACGAACTCAAAGACACCAAAATTGGTCCAATTTGAACACAAATGGGTCCAAATCAAGGGCCTCAAGCCTATTTGGATGCTTCATAACATTAATTGGATGACAAAATGATATCCAAATGTGACATGCTTAGAGTTGAATTGAGCGGCTCGATAAATATTCAGGAGTTTACAATGATGATCGTTGGGCAGAAGTTCAACGACGGTTGGACGAAAGTTTGTTGGTCGTCGGGAAAAAATACAGTGACGGACAATGGTCGGGTAGAAGTCAGTTGTTAGTCGGTGGTAAGGTAGAAGTCTGATATTAGTCGGCCGGGTGAAAGTTTGATGTTAGTCGGCCAGGTGAAAGTTTGACAACAGTCTGTAGTCGAACGTCCAAAAAAAAGTCAATCGACGGTCAGTGGTCATGCAAAAATCAGGTGACGGGTGATGGCCGGGAAGAAATCCGACGACGGCTATTGGCCAGGCAGATGTCCGTCGACTGTTGGTGGCCTAGTAGAAGTCCAACAACGATTTGTGACAGGGGCAGAAGTTTGACGACGGTCGGTGGTCGAGGAGGAGCTTAGTGGAAAGAGAGATCTCATCTTGGTTTTCATTCTTCATCTTAATTTCTTTTTTTTTTTATCCCTTTTTGAAGAATGGAGGGTCTATTTATAGTTTTTTGAAAGTGTCAGGGCTAGTAAATAGGGAGAAGATCAATGGCATGTTGGAAGAGTTTTTTGGTGAATGGTTGATATAGATTCTCTTGATCATAGAATATTTATCGAGCATTTATGTGTCTTAATGAAGTCAGAATTTGACGATCTTAGGCTTGTTGGATTCATGTCGTCGAGCTGCTCAATTCTACAATAAGCATGTTCCATTTGGAAATCATTTGGTCATCCACTTTATGTTTTAAAGCTTCCAAACTTTCTTCGGTCCCTCAATTTGGACCCATTTGATATTGGATTGGACTGAATTTGGTGTCCTTGGGTTTGTCTTTTTAAGATATTCAGTTCGACTATAAGTTTGCTAAAATTGGAGTGTGAATGGTCCTGAATTTGCTTTCAAAAGTTTCTAATAAAAAATTTTCTCGAGATTTGTGCTCGATCAAGATATATAACTTTTTATGATATATCAAGTGTAAAATGAATGCATGAATTTACTTTTTATGTTTGGTTTGAAGTAAGTGAATGTAATTTAAAGCGTAAAACGGTTGTGTCCAGGATGGTCGGCGAAGGCTGGTGGTCAATGTTAGCCGGTGGTCGACAACCGGCGTTAGAGGGCGGTGATGGCGATGGCGATGGTGGTTGAAGTGGCTAGTGGCGGTCGACATAGTGGCTGTCGGCAGTGCTCATGCATGCATTGGACCGGTGTAAATGGTTCTAGCTCAAAACTGTGCAAGAATGATTACCTCCAAAATGAACTAGAACGAAATATAGTGCATTCACTTTACCTTGACTTTATTTTTCATCTAACCAAACATCAAACTTCTCAAAACCCCTACATTTACTTTACTTTACCCTCACTTTACATCCAATCAAAAAGCCCTGCAAATAAAATTTTGTATCTATGCATTTACTTTTACAATACATTTGTCATGTTTTGACTTCATTCATCTAAATTTTTTATAATTGAAAAAACCCAAAAGTTACATCATCTACTCCTTGACCCCCTTTTTAAGGTCTTCCAATGTCTATAACATATGATAGATTTATAAAGTCATGAATTCATATGAACATTCCCACAAACAAGTTTAATGAGGACCACTAAAGTCCCACACAACTTTGGTATATGTGGTGTCTAATAAAAGATGGACTTTTTTTCCCTACTTGCACCTATATAAAGTTTGCATGATCAGATTGCTGAATGGATGTCATGAAAAACACTCAAAATAATCCATTTTGACATAAGCTTCTTTAATGTTTCACTTAATGTGATGACTCACTCTTAGATCATAATTTGTCATATTATATGGCCACTTATTTTGAGTCTACTATGACCCATATCTTTCAACATGCTAAACGGAGCAAATCTCACGGCCGTTAAATTGGTGAGATTATTACACGCGGAGTCCAAACGAGAGAACCGTCAGAATTCTGTGAGAGTGCTAAGTAAATACACAGCAAATACACAATTTTATTTTTTGTTGTGTACCCTCATAGAATTTGAACGATTCTCTTGTCTGAAATTTACATGTAATAGTTTCTCTACTAAAAAATTGAGGCATCAAACACTAACAATAGTGTTTCTGATCAGTAATTTGAATATGTGATAATGTAGATCTCAATGTGATCAGTACAATGGGGGTAACATAACAAAAATTTTAATGATCGAATTGACAAGAATAATTTAAAGAAGATTGATCACTCAACTCTAGAGCCATTGACAAGTTTTGGTGATACGTTGTCATTCTTTTATTGTAATATTGATCTCTTCCAGAGAAATTATTTTTCTCATGTGATGACAGATCATATGCAAGCAGGTGAAAGGTTTAGATCAATTGATCTTAGGGGTGGCCAATAAAGCCACTTAACAAGAAAAAGAAAATAAATCAAAAATTTTTTATTAGTTCATTTGATTTGATTATAGCTTCATTTGGGACGGTTTTTACTGTTCACGGAGACAAAATCAGACGGTTCTCTGTGTCTGATTTCCGCACATAATAATATCTCCCCAATTAGACACTTCATCGATTTGAGGCTTTCGTAAGTTCAAAACATGCCAAATTGACGGCCTTGGATTCATCGCAACCAATTAATTATTTTCGTATCAATTTTGCATCATACCATAATCTATTATCTCTTCATGATTTTTTTAATTAAAACTTGACATGTTCTTACAAAATATTCATAAATTACATTGACAAATAGATGTGTTCTTCTATCTCTTAATTTTCTTAAATTAAGATTTGCCATCTTCTTACAAAATATTTATAAATCACAATCACACTTAGAAAGACAATGATTATCATAATGAGCCTTAAGCACTTGATTTGCAAAATGTCATAAGCGTATGACTCGTAATGAAGTTTAAATAAAAATATAGTTTTTTATTTGGGGCGACTTTCTTACTGCTTATTAAAGCAATTTTTAATAAAAAATTTTAAAAAGCAATAAAAATCTGTCCCAAATAAAATCTCAGGCTTCAATTGGGACAATTTTTTTCTTCTTTCCAAAATAATTTTTTTGTTCAAAATATAAAGTTACAAACGGAAACTTTAATATTAAAAAAAAAATTGTATATATTATCAAAACGTGTATGGAGAGCCGAGATTCAAACTTTAGTGTCATCATAGTTTCTATTTTTTATTTAATTTTATTGAAATATTAATTAATATAAGAATCCCCCCGGGCATGCTGCTCTTCCAAACTTCCTCAACGTCTGAATTTCTCTCCCCTCCACTTCCTCGGATCTCGTACGAGAGAGAAATGAAGAAGCTAATCCGACGGCTGTCAACTCTGTTGGATGACAGGCAGTACGATCGGCTGAAGACGAGCGAGGATCCGCACGAACGCAGCTCACGCCGCCGGGTGAGACGGTGGCGGTCGATGGTTCCGCCGGGGCACGTGCCAGTCTTTGTAGGCGAGGAGAAGGAGTGGTTCGCAGTCGCGGCGGAGCATCTCGGCAGCCCAGCGTTTAAGGAACTGCTCCGGCGATCCGAGGAGGAGTATGGTTACGAGCAGAGCGGTGTGCTGCGAATCCCGTGCTCCGTCCAGCTGTTCTGCCGAGTGCTCAGTTCACTCTCCGGCGATTCTTCCGGCGTTCATCGGAAGTTGGGGAATAAGGATTATGTTAACCAACCTGTGAAATGCGCCTACTGATGCATGCTAATTTGCAGAAAGACTTATATAACGGGCAAATTATTGCGTCAGGTGACCGAACGCAGAGATGCGTTCGGTCCCTCTCTGTCTACAGTAACATGCGCTTTACTGTAGCAGTGCTACAGTAAAGCGCAGGTTACTGTACTGCTACAGTAAAACGCAGGTTACAATAGACAGAGAGAGACCGAACGCATCTCTCTGTCAGGTGACCTGATGCAATAATTTGCCTTATAACGACTTGTAATGCTTGAATATGCACCGTTTGATCTCTCACCCAGGATTCGTTTGGGATTGCTTCTTAAAGCAGCTTTTTAGTATGAAAATTAAAAATTTTGTACTTAAAAATTATTTTAAGAAGCAATAAGAAAGCCGTACCAAACAAATCTTTAATCTACACCACTGAGCTGAGCTCAATTATGTTCTATATATATCACTTGTAAACGGTAAATGAAGAGTAAGCTTTATCCTTGCAATTTATACTTTCATCTAACTTTATGCTATAGTTAATAGTTCTTGATGGTATCAGAGCACACCATGTAACTTTCTCTTCTTCCCTCTTCGCATTGGCGGCCCAAGAAACCTCCTCAATCTCTTCCATGCTAACATCTCCTTTTCCCGTTGACTTCCCTAAACCACCCCAACTTAAATTTCTGATGTCAAACGTCAAAACCATTCTTCATGTCCAACTCCACTGCTGATAATTATCACATTTGACTCTCACAAATCTTAAAACTTTTCTTTGCTAACAATTTTGCTGGATATCTTGATGGATCCATCTCAAAACCCCAAAAACAAATTGTTTTACCAGACAATATCATTACTGCTAACCCAACCTATCACACTTAGATGCTAATTGATCAGAAGTTGGCATCTGCTCGCTTTTCAACGATATCGCCCTCCCTCTTTTCATATGTTCTCAACCTTGATTCATGTATGAACATTTGGTTTACCCTTGAGTGTCGTTTGCAGTAATCAAATCGTTCTTGCATCCTGCAACCTAAAAATGAGTTACGTCATATTCAAATACGAGATCGAACCGTGGTTCAATATTTATTAGAAATTAAGAATAAGGTTGACTCCATCAACGCTGCTGGTTCACATATAGAGCCCGATGACATTATCTCATACACCCTTAATGGTCTTCCCTTTTCGTATAATGCCTTCAAGACCTCAATCGGAACTAAATTACATCCAATTAGTCTGGATGATCTCTATACCTTATTATGCAGCTAATAGACAAACATTGTTATTGAACAACACTCTGAGAGCTCTAAAGTTGCCACACCTGATTCAACATTTGCACTTATAACTTTCCATGGTCGCTTCAGAGGTCGGTCTCGTGGACGATTTTCCCCTCAACACAATGGTCGTTTTCGGTTTCCACCTACTTGTACTAGTCGTTGGCCATCGTCTCCATCGAATGCCAAATTTGCGAAAAATTTGGTCACTCAACAACTACATGTTGGCATCGTGCCAACCTATCTTATCAGCCCACTCCACCCCAAGCCTTCCTGGCTCATGACGATGCTCCTCCCGTGGACAAGTTTTTGGATTTTGGAGCAACCAATCACCTCACGACAGATGCTTCTCAGATTCAGTCTATACAATCGTATTCAAGCAATTTGCATGTTCAGATTGGCAACATAACTCATTAAGTACAAGGCATTCTTCTTCATGTTCCCCACCTCACTCACAACTTGCTTTCTATTCACCAACGTACTAATTCATAACAATGCTTGCTAGCAACTTTTTGACACTAATGATTTCACCATCAAGGATTCAACGACTCACCAACCCGTTCTTCATCTCGAGTGCACTCTGCTTCATCTCTTACTGCCCTTCTCAATGTCTCTATTGACAATAATGCCTGGCATCGAAGACTCGACCACCTTGTCGTTGATGTTCTTTATTCCATCTCTTGCTATCTCCGTCTCAAGACGCACCCATTCCATTGTGATTCCTGTGTTCGTGCCAAAAGCAACTGCCTCCCATTTTATCCATATGTTTCCAAAACTTCAAAATTTCTTAAAATTCTATATACACATGTATGGGGACCATCCCCACTTTTATTTTTCCAGAAATTTAAATATTATATCATATTTGTAGATGATTTTACTCATTATACATGGGTATTTTCATTTAAATTGAAAGCTGATGTTCTCTAAATTTTTCTTTAATTCAAATAATTAGCTGAAAATCAATTTCAAACTTCTATAAAAGTTATTCATTCTGACTGAGGTGGTGAATACCTTAACAAGCAGTTTGCAAACTTCTTGCTATCCTTCGCCATTACACACAGACTCACCTGCCTTGACTGGGAGAGGGTGAATGCCGCGTGTATCCCAAATCAAATGTGAAGAATCGTCTGTCATTAGACCGTTACTGCATTTTTAAGAACGAGATTAAGAACTTGCCAAAGGAGTAGAAGTCCAACTAAAACCTATATAAAGTTTGCAATTTATTGGAAGCATCCTTATATTTGCTAGAAGCTTTATGATTCCAAGCTATCATCTTGAATATTAGAAGATTTGAAGGAATCTTCTTGACCACGACTGTAGTTAAGATTTGTCCCATAATCCACATTTAATTCTCATGAAATTGATGCATTAATAACTTATGTCAGGACATTGAAATGAACTACCTTTTGAGGTTGGAGCAAAAATTGCTCCCAGTCTGGAATCATATTTTCACATACGGTGTCAAACAGTTTTGTCCTTGAATATTCATGGAGGTAGAGAGTGATATTGTTTAGCGTCTTAGATTTTTACAAAGATCCAATACACAAATAAATAAGAGCACATGATTATAGAGTTTATAAGAGAAATCAGAATTTTTACATAGAAACCCTTAAATAGGAGAAAAACTATGGGACATAGCCTAGTTTGAATGAATCCACTAATGTTTGTAATTGATTATAAATGAAGCCCTTAGAAGGAAGGTATTGGCTAAATGTAGCAAATATACATCATATATAGTAAATGCTGGAGTTGGAAGAATCAACATTGATATGCTCGTTTGGGTCAGCAAAACCATATTTTGTGAGTGATGTAGGTTAAAAGGATCATAGTTAGATGATGGTGGTCGGAAGGATCGTAGTTGGCGGGCGAGCGTGGTCGCAGGACCGTACTCGGTGGTGGTGGTTGGAAGACCATAATTGGCGAGCAACGGAGGTCAGGAGGACCATAGTTGGGTGAAAAATGGTCAGAAAGATCATAGTTGGCAGGCAACAAAGGTCGGGAGGACAGTAGTTGGGAGACGATGGTTGGGAGGATAGTAGTTGGCAGGCGACGATGGTCGAAAGGGTTGTAGTTGGGCGACGTTGGTTGGAAGGGCCATACTCGGCAGGTGATGTAGGTTGGAAGGGTTAAAGTTTGTGGGCGACAGAGGTCGGGAGGACCATGGGTGATTGATGAATAGGTGGAATTCCGACAGAGGTTGGAAAGAACTCCAGCGGCGCTCATGAATGGGAAGAAGTTCGGCGGTGGTCGACGAACAGAAAGTAATTCATCGGCAGTGGTCCACGGATTGGAGGAAGTCTGGCGGTGGTCGTCGGACTGCAAATCTCTGTTGGTGGTCGGAAGACTAGCGGAAGTCTGGTAGTGGTCGACAGACTAGCGAAAGTCCGACGATGGTCGACGAACTGGCGGGAGTTTGTCGATGGTCTGAAAATAACTCTGGCGGTGGTCGGTGGACGGACGGAAGTCTGACAATGGTCGAGAAGAGCTTCAGCGGTGGTCAGAGGAAGGGCGGAAGTCCAGTAATGGTCGGTGAACTTGCGGGAGGTCGTCGATGGTCGGGAAGAACTTCGACGATGGTCGATGAACGGGCGGAAGTACGGCATTGCTTGACGAACTGGCGGAAGTCTGGCGGTAGTCGGAGAATTGGCGGGAGTCCGTTGATGGTCTGGAAGAACTTCTGCGATGATTGGCGGAAGTCCGGCAATGGTCAGCGACAAGCAAGCTCTCAAATTTTTTCATTATCCTCCTCATTTCCTCCCCCTTTTATGTGAAGAGTGGGGGCCTATTTATAGTTTTTGGAGAGTGACATGGCTTGTAAATATGACGAGGATCAAGGTGAAGATGTGAGTGGTTTTAATGGACGGCCCATATTGATCCCCTTGATCATGGACCGTTTAATAGTCATTTGAATGCCTTCATGATATCAGACTTCATTGATCTTGGGCTCGTTGGATTCATCTCGTCGAGCCGCTCGATTTGATTATAAGCATGTAATCTTTAGAGTTTGTATGGTAATCCAAATTATAATTTGAACCTTCCAAAGGTACTTTGAAGCATTGATTTGGGCTCATTTTGGCTTGAATTGAGTCAAATTTGGTGTCATTGGGTTCATATTTTTTAGACGATCAATTCGACTATAAGTTTGTTGAAATCAAAGTTCTGATGATCCCAATTTCACTTTTGGAAGTTTCCAACTCAATGTTGCTTCAAGATTTGTGCCCGATCAAGATAAATTTTTGTATGATATATCAGACGTAATGTTCACTTTGACCTAATGGCCTCAAGGTTTTATTTTGTTGGTGTAACTTCGTAAAATTTCTCCTGGATAAACACGCTTAACCATAGAGTTTCTTAATTAAATTTCAATGGTATGACCAAAAGGCATCTTGATGTTTAAAAGTTTAACTCTTTTTTTTATTTAGGAGATTTTATAATTAAATTGTTTTAGAATTTACAATGAATGCATGAAAATTAATCAAACAAAAACTAAATCTTAAAAACCTCAAGCATTTATAGCTTATATCTTATATGGTTATAACTTATATTTAGGGGTGCATACGAGCTAAGCTGAGTTCGAACTCCTATAAACTTGTGCTTTAGCTTGATTAATTAATCGAGTTCAAGTTCGAGCTCAAAATCTAATGTAATTCTATAAGTTTGAGAAGGTTCATGAGTTGACTCATTTATTAAGAAAGAGAGATGATCATGTTTATTCAAGCAGTTATTATAATAGCTTTATAAAAAATTGAAATTAAATTCGAAATAGCAAGAAATCAATAAAAAATAAGAAAGATAATTTTTTTATATTTTTTAACAAATTTATATTAAAATATGAAAATTTAACATATTATAAATTATATTATATTAACAATTTTTAAATGAGCTAAATCAAGAGCAGATAAGTCAAATCGTGTTAGACTGTAGCTTGACTTGTTAGTCCATCGATCTAAACTCCCGAGCCATTTATCAATTCTAGTTAGAGCTAGCTCATGAGTCGACTTAGCTCAATTAAAGCAAAGTTATATCCAAGATTTTGATTGGATTTACTATCAGAGATTGAGTAATGGATTTATTAAATCTAACAAAAAGTTGGTTTAGTAAATTAAACACTTAACCGAACCATAAATCTTAATAAAAATTTCTAATTAAATCTTACAAATAAAAGAAATGCTCGGTTGAAGTGATAGTAAAAAAAACATTTTTGATAAGTAAATCATATATAATCTGAATGGTAGTTTTTGTAAGATATTAAGCAAATTTAATAATAATTTATAAGCAAAATAATAGTTAATATGCTTAGAACTCTCATCTATAATGAAAGCCCGGACACCTAAACATAAAAATATAGGAGAAATTATTATGTGCAGAATTCAGACGTAGCTTGTGTCCGTACTCCAATCAAAATAAATCACGTCACTTGTATACAACCTGTGTATAATTTTGTACATAACCTGTGTATAATACATAATGTATATAGATGACATTGCCCTTTTCGATTGGAATTTTTATTGCGTCCTCCCACCTGACGTAGAGATACGTCCTCCCACCGCCAAAAAATTCTGTTTTTGCTTGGTATTGCTAGGTATTATTTGATAATAACGAGGAATATCATCATGTGAAGACCAATACCGAGTTTTACCGAGCTGTACCGAGCTATACCGAGCAATACAAAAAAATACCGAGTTCTTTCTAGGAAAAACTAGGTATTTTTTTGTATTGCTCGGTATAGCTCGGTATAACTCGGTATTGGTCTTCACATGAAGATATTCCTCATTATTGTTTGGTATTGCTCGGTATTTCTCGTTTTTTAGTGCAAATTTAGCTCTGGGAGGACGTATCTCTACGTCAGGTGGGAGGGCGCAATAAAAATTCTTATTATTGGACTGGATGCCGTCCGGCAGAACCAATGAAAAAAATATATAGATAGATAGATTTAAATAAACAAACAATAGTACAAGCAAACTTAAATGAATTTGAACGTTAGGCAACGGTCATGTTGTTGTCTCCACAAAAGAATAGATAACACAGTTCATTTCTGAAATTCACTTTTTCAGCATTTACAAACTGAATGTCCACTCTATTTATACCCTCTAAATGTCATCCAGGCTAAGCTCTGAAATCAAAACTTCTTGCCAAACCTTGCATCAGATTCTTCCCTCTAACTATTCAGATCTAGATTTCTCTCTGAGCTTTCTCCTTCTAAGTACAGATTCAAAAGAAAAGTGGGAGTGAATGGGCCTCGTGATAGTTCTCTCTCTCCCTCTGATCATCTTCTCCATCTTACTAGCCTTCTGCTGCTACTTTATTGGCCGAGCGAAGGGAAGGCAAGAAATGAAGACCGGCGTTGGTGCACAGGTCTATGGCATGCCAACGATCCCTCCCGGTGCTGTTGGATCAACAGTTCATGAAAAAAAGAAAGTAGGATCCGATAATGTTTGAAAGTTGGAATTTGTTACAGAGATGATTGATTTCTGCTTGTGTTTTCAGTTGGCTTGAGATGATAAGAATGCTTACTGCTATTCATTTGTTTGTTAAATCTATGAGCAGAGTTGATGAGTGTATTTATTTCAATTTCTTTGAACAAGGAAATAAAATGGCGTAATTGTTTATCTATGATAATGTTGTGATTTTTCATGCAAACTGGAGAAGCTCAAAGAGGCCTCTTGCAAGAATATTGTTCTACGAATTTCAGATTTAGAAACAAATTTTCTTTTCCATGTCGCAGAAAGATTTCCACCAGTTGAAGAGAGAATGGTGAGCGATTTAGAATACGTGAAAACAAAAAAATATCAAGCAATCTACAAGAAATGAACAGAACATTCAGCTTTCACCGATTTCTTCAAGACAACAAAAAAGCATTGGGAATTGAAGTCAGTAAAAACTTATTCAAATTCAGCAGAATTACAGTTTTTTATATAATTTTTTAATCAATCAAATAACAAAAAAATTATCAGGGCAAAACATTCTGCCATGAGGCTTCACTCTTTACCACAATTTAAAACAAATAAGCATGGAATTAAGACCAATATAAACTTGAGAAACAACATAATTGCAACTTTTTTAGAAAAAGTTTTGAATCAATCAAATAACAAAAAATTATCTCAGCTTCCATGAATTCTCTCAACATTTTACTTTCTATTATAAAAAGTTTGAATCAATCAAATAACAAAAAATTCTCTCAGTTTCCATGAATTCTCTCTTTTTAAGGCTTGCAATTGATGAGTTTCCTTTCAATTCACAGTTTAACTGATAATTTCTGGATTAACTTGTATTAACTGATAGTAAAAATTCTGTCTTTGCCCTGATAATAAAAATTCTGTCTTTTTATTTAGTCAATAAATATGGAAAATATTGCAACATAATTTCTGGATTAACTTGTATTAACTGATAGTTGGTCATCTGGATGAAGTAAATCCTGATAGTATTAACTCATGAAAATAGTTGGTCATGACACATATTAGATCTTCGTAAATTATGATAAATTTTTACCAGTAAACGTTGAAAAGATAGCATGATTGATAATTATAAAATTTAATCGAATACTTGAACAGATAGCAAGATTGATATGTAAAGCCTATTCTAAGAAGGAAAAAACATGCAAGTCACAGTATTTGAACATATACAGATAACGTTGGGGAGAACAGAGAGACGCAGGTAATGAAGAGGTTGGGTGAAGTTGGAGGAGGCCTTCGCGATGATCATAGAGCTGAAGAGGAGAGCACTGATCTGACAAAAAACGAGTAGAAAATGGGATCTAATTCGATCATATAAAAAGAAACCTTCTGGCAAGATGTAGATTAAAACCTGGTTCAATCTTTATTAAAATTACAGATAAACAGTACCTAATTATATTATCACATCAACTTCCAAAGCAAAGAAATATTGAGAAATTCGCAGAACAAAACATTCTGCCATGAATTTCCAAAACCTCAAAATAAATTAAGAACCCAATGAAACCCTCTGAACTCCTAAACAACTATAACTTAATAACGGCTGCAAAGCACAAATCTTATCAATCCCAAAACCCCACAAGAAGCTGCAAAGAAGAACATCAAAACAAAATCCCTCTTCGACCATCTCTTAGCCACCCCAATCACCTGTCCCTTCGCCTCTACCCTCAAGCTTTTCGCCCTCCTCAACGCATCCACTTCTTTCAACAAATCAAACTCCAGCCCCTTTCGCTTCAACTCTTCCACACACTTTCCAAGCAGCAATCCATCCTCCTTCTCCCTTTCAAGAAGCTTTTCAAGATGGCTTTCGGTGTCGGCTTTGTATCTAATTGCCCAAACAATTGTCATGGAACAGAGGAGGGAGCAGAGGCAGGGGATCCATGAGCGGCGGCAGGCTGCGATGGGTTGATGGGCCGCTGCTGAGAAGAGGAGGACGAGGGAAAGAGAGTGGAAGATGAAAAATGCACAGCTGAGGGCTGTGATTTCACGGCGGACTGAGTCGAGTTGGGTTTCTTTGATGGCAATGCGGCGGGCTATTAGGTCTTCTTCTTTGAGCCATTGCTTTAAGAGGAGCTTGTGTGTTCGGTTTTCAGCGATTTGGTGGAGGGGGTGAGGGGGCTTTGTGGAAATGTTGGTTTCTCTGAGAGGAGAAGAGATGGCGGTCGTTGTCGTCGTCATCTTGTTCTTCCTTCTCTCCCAAAGAAAGGTTTCTTTCTGTAGAGGAAGTGAGGGGATTTGTTTTCAGTAAGTATGAGTGGAGAAATGAGGAATAACGAATGGATGCAACGGTCGATTTTGAATTATTATGGCTTCATTTTTATTAGCAACGGTCGATTTTTCGTGGATTGGAGACGTTTGAACTATGCGGGATTTAAGGACTAAAATAACCCTGCCATTCAATGGAATAACGAAATTGCTTCAAAATGTTAGCTTTGATTTGAATGCACAACGGTCCATTTTCTGGGGTTTTACTGGTAAATAATTATAGTATAGCTGTCCCGAACGCTGAAAACAAATATCTCGCGTGAAGTATAAGCATTGTGAGCGGGCTGGATTTATGGGAGAGATTATTCTTGCCTACGCTGGATGCTGGACGCAGGACACAAATATATATGGGGAGATGAATCAGGTATAATCATGTCAGTAGTATTGTGCAGTACCGAGTCATAACATCGAGCGAAGGGATTACGTGGTGAATTTTGGTTGACCTCCGAAAGGAATTCGGCATCCGTATAGAATAATTTTTCAGATTTATGGTGTAATCAATCGAGCCCAGCTCAAACCACTCTTATCTTGAGCTTGGTCTTAATTAATTAATTGAGTTCGAGCTCAAGCTCGGGCTTTATTTTTTGAGTTCGAGCCGACACACAGCTCTCCTTGATCTGTTGATTGGCAGCTTTGGCTACCAAGTAATAGGTTTTAGTTTGAGTCTAACATATGTGTTGAGTGTGTTAGTTTGCCTTAATTGACCTAAATATCTAAAAAAAAAAAGTTCAAACAATCTCACGAGGCGGCTTGTTTAGCATGGAAAAGAGAAAATAATTATGATTCCAACAATTATTTTAATAGAATGGGAAAAAATGAGAAAGTAGAAGAAAATAATAAAAATAACTTAATAAAGAAAATGTGATAAAGTTTCAAACCATTTTAAATAAATTTGCACTTAAAATTATAAATGTTAATATATTATAAATATATTTTATATTAATATTTTTTAAACGAGCCAGCTCGCGAGCTAACAAGTCTAAGTCAGAGCTAGCTCAAACTTGATTCATTACCTCATAAAGATCATAAGCTATTTATCGAGTCAAGGCTGAGCTGACTCAAGACTCGGCTTCACTCACTTTACCCCCTAGCTCCAATTCATGACTATGGTTTGTTGGATTGAAATAGGAGTTTGAATTTTACTGAACTTAATTATAAAAATTTTTAATGCAAATATTATCTTAAGAATCATGGAGATCAAATGAATATTTTAGAAACATATCAAATATATCAATAAATAAAAACTCATTTTTTTTATAATTACTTGATTGAAATTATGATAAAAAGAGTCATTTGTATTATGGGTGTCAATAAATATCCCGATACAAGCCTGATTTGAAAATTTTAATTCAAATTAACCCGTTTAATAAACAAATCAGATTCGTTCAAATTTTATGACCCGTTTTTAAAGCAGATTGAGTTTTATTTGAATGAATTAATAAACACTTTTATGAATAATAAAGTATTATATAATAAATAATAAAATATTAATCTAGTGAACAAAAATACTTAGTATTAATATATATTGTTTAATTAAAGAACTTTATAAAATCAAGAAAAAATAAAATAAAAGCGCACCCCCTCCCCTCCCCCCGCCGCCGCCGATATCGCCGGCCTCACCCCCTGCAAAGAATCCAAACAATTCGCCAAACGAGAAAAACAATCCATCAAAAAACTCGAATCCGCACTCAAAAACTACGCCCCTGACTCCGCCCCCGCCCTCGCCATCAAAGCCACCATCGAAAAAACCAAGCGCCGATTCGACAACTACGGAAAGTTCGGCCTCCTCTGCGGCTCCGACGGCCTTCCTCATCTCATCGTCAGCGGAGATCAGAGGCACTGGGGCGAATTCATCACGCCAGGATTGCTTTTCCTGTATATTGCTGGGTGGATTGGGTGGGTTGGGAGGAGCTATTTGATCGCCATTCGAGATGATAAGAAGCCGGCGATGAAGGAAATCATTATTGATGTCCCGCTTGCTTCTGGCCTACTATTTCGAGGCTTAATTTGGCCTGTGGCTGCCTACCGCGAGTTCGTGAATGGAGATCTTGTTGTTGATGATAAGGATGTCTCGATCTGGGGATGAAGTTTGTGAGGTGAGATCTGTGAGCAAAATCGGATTTTGACATCTTTTTTTATGTTGATGCAATGATGAACATAAACCTATTTTTAAAATCTTGAGTGACACAAATAAGTAATTTGATTTCTGTAATGTTGAATATGTATTGCAGGTTGGATTGGCCCAAGAAAAGGGAAGGAGATGAGCTGATAACCTGAGATGGTTTTGCTTTTATCTATTTGAATTTGGGGATGTGCTGTAATTTTAGATGCATTTATATTGATGTAAAATTTAGCTGAACATAGTGTGATGTCTTTTTTGGCTATAATTCTTGTCATGAATATCATATTCTTACTTTTCACTGTTGCATTTTACTTGGTTGGCCTTCCTCTCTTTTGCATTTGATACTAAGGCTTCGTTTGGGGGCAAATTATTGCGTCCGGTGTCAAACCACGTCACCAAAATGCATCGGACTCAGTGTATTTGGGTGACGTGGCGTCATCGAATTGGATGTCCGGACATCCGGTGACCGGACGCATTAATTCGCCTCATTTAGGACAGCTTTTAACCATTATTTTTTCGTTGTTTAAAAAAAATGTATTGATAAGCTTCAAAATTGTCCCAAATGAAACCTAAACCTTATAAAAGCTTATCGAGAAGATAAATGTTCTCTATGTTTAGGAGATTGAAGCTTTTTTTTTTTTAGTGAATTTAATCATAGTGATGATCACTGTGAACATATTGATAGATTTTCTTAACATGTTGATTATATTATTAATTTGTATGAAATTTTTTATTGATATGATATTGCTGATGAGGAAACATCAAGATTTCTATTAGCGTTTTGCCTTGGGCAATGTAGCATAAGGCTAAAATAAAAATGTGCTATATAAAAAAAATTTATAATATTATTAATGTTGATATTTATTTATCTAATTAATAATTAATAATTATACTTAAAATAATTAATTATATAATCCTTTGTATATATTTAATGATATATGTTTTTTTTAAATGAGAATAATCATTTTTCCTATTTTTTCAACTTTAAAATCAAAATCATGGCTAATTTTTCATATATTGCATAAAAAACTACTTATAACATAATTTTAGTATATTTTTATTGCTGTTTAATTATTTATTAAGTATTTGATTATTAATCACATAATCGATAAAATCATTTAAAATTTTTATTCAACTCCTGTAATTTATAAATTTAAAATAGTTTTCAACTAAAATATAAATAAATTTACACTTATTAATTTCAAGTAAATACAATCTTCACAAAAATGGAAAAAAAACCAATCATCTACATATCTCAATAAGAAAAGTCCCAATCTTTATATAAGGGAAATTTGGCTTTATTTGTCTTATAATTTAGGCAAATGGAGAAATATCATTTAGGCAATTATGGGACCAACAACATGTGAAATAAAGAGCGGTTCACCATAAGAGCTTGCTAGGAGAAGGCATCAACAAGGTCAATAGCATATAAAAGATTAAAAACATGCAAGGAAAAGACATTCGCAGGGCCATCAATGTGTGAAGGAGAGAAATGTTTATGATAGAAGCTCATTGAGTAGGGAATGTGAAGAGAAGATTGGTTCGTTGAGAGCTTGTTGGGAAGCTTTCAACATAAGCACTACATGTGAAGGGAAAAACGGGTTCATAACTCTCCAATTGTAACAACTCAAGCTTTTAACTATTGAGATATTATTCGCTTTGATCAAAAAGCCTCATGATTTTGTTCTGTTTGTATAAATTCTCAGTAGGTCATCCATCCCAGAATTACTCTGAGATGAGCACGCTAACTACGAGAGTTTCTTAATTGAAATTCCAACCATTAAGGATTTAGTTTCATTTAGTTAAGGAATTTCACACCAATGATGTTTGAATATGTTTAAGTTTTAATTTGAATATAAGTTAAGTTGGAACTTGGAAGCATAATCGAATTTGAACTTGTTAGAACCCATTTCAAATAATTCATCTCCAAAAAAATAGTCAATTTGATCAAAATAAATTTTGAGATGTATTACTTCAAAAAATAAAAATATTTCTAAAAACTTCAACATTAATATTTTTCCAATTAAAATATTTTGTGTACAATTCGAACGAAAAAAAATCAAGTATATGAGTATAGACACTATATACACATTTACACATATTATCAAATCAATATCGACATTATGTGTACAAAATATGCAAGCTCGCAATCCAGAAGATTTTTCCGTCCGGATAGAAAAATTTCTCCCATGTCAAGCTTTTATTTTATAATACTTGACCTATGCTGGAGAAGCGTCGATCTTTATCTCATCAGAGAATCAGAGAAGGTAAACAATCCATGTCCTTCATCCTTGCAGACTGAGAAGCAGCAATCCTATGAAGCAGAACCTATCTCCTAAGTCCTTCACTAGGAGAATCTACAATCTTATCTTGCCGTGAGAAATGGAAATCGTTCTCAGGCCTGTATTTGCATAAGAAAGCATTAATGGCCTGAAGAAGTGGATACTTTATCTCGTTGGGTGAAGAGGAGTTTATCTCTTTCTGGTAGAAGCAGCGAGAAGCCGTTCATCGCCCATTCGCCTTATAAATAGCAGCAGGATAATCAACATGGCAAGCACTTACTGGGTCACCGTGCTCACCCTCCTCTCTCACATTCAAAAACTGCTCCCTGTCGTTAGCGTTCTCACTACAGTGGCTTTGCGACCTTGTTGAGTTCCTCTTCAAAGCAACATTTATTGGCATTCTTCGCTGCTGCCTGACAGGTCTAGCTCGATTGCTTATTTTTACAATCTGTATAAATTAAATTCTTTTGTTTAGTTCATTTTCTTATAATCTGCATCAATTGCTCTATATTCTTCTTATGCAGAATAAAATTTGCTCTCGATAAGCTTTTACCAAAATCATTTGTTGCTATTGTTTGAGCTCGGCATAATATTGTCATTACAAATAAGTTTTCTGCATAACATATAAGTGAAATCAATGTTGGTTTTCAGTGGACAAAGATTTCAAGTGGGAACTACATAACTAACACAAATTGTTGGCTTCCTTATGCTCTTTTTTCATGTTTGAGTCTATGAACACCAATTTCAAGCTTTCTTCTCTGGGTTGACTTATGTGCATGCTCAGTTCTGAAGCTCTAAAGCATATGTATATGTAGCATTCTCAAAAACCAATTCATGCATCAGCTAAGACGAGAAGCTGGGAGAGTTTAGGCGCTTGAATATTGTGTTGAAGTGGGAAATCTTGGTGGACTAAATTTTTCTAATTATTCATTGAATAAATTAAAAATTTTATATCAATTTCTTGTATTATTACCATAATGGACACACTTTAAAACAAGTTAATATGGCTACAATAAGTTCCTGAGGATTACATGCATTTTATAGTTGTGGATGAAAAGTGCAGTAGCAATTATTTACAGAGCACATGATATTATAGTGAGGCATGATAAAATGGGAAGGGAGAATCAACTAAAACTCTTGATTATGCTGTGATGCAGACAATGATGGACATGGTAAATGAAAGGTGGTTGAGGTTTTTTAAATATTAGCCGCCCCTTGGCCCTTGATTCCACGGCTAGCATGTGGATTCGTGGGAGGCTCATCTGGATCATGTCGATCTCTTTCTTTATTTGGGTGGTTGATTTAGAAAGGATTATATTAAGACAATTATGCATGATTTTGTAGTTATTTGTTTCTTTATTAAGACATCTTGTATAGATCTATAAATAGGGATAGTTTTGTATAATAAAATTAAGCTTTTCACTCTCCAATTTTCTGAATTTAACATAGTATCAGAGCAAGGCATTATGTTCTTCTTAAAAAATGAGAGCGTAAGAGAGTGAGAGTTGGTCCTGGCATTCTGCTCTTGCTTGCACGCGTCCAGGGTAGTCGAGCAAGTGAGAGAGCTTCCCCTTTGCGGTCTTCTGTGTGCGGCTCTCATGTGTACGTACTTGGTGGCCAAACCGAGGGAAGAAGAGGATCAAGAGAGGAAGCGAGCAGTTACTGCGTGCGTGCATGCCTGAGCTTTGACAATTGACCCTCGTGCATGTGCTGGACCTGAACCAAGCAAGGAACGAGTGGTTGAAGAGTTGTTGTACGCGCCATCAAATCCTCCACTCGAAGTGCCCCTCCTTGCCCCAGATCCAGACCGCTTCTGTATGTTCCCGTTCGCTACTCTAAGATCTGGGAGATGTACAAGAAGTTCGAAGCCTCTTTATGGACAATAGAAGAAGTTGTCCTCTCCCAAGATCTTTTCCATTGGGATCAATCCCTGAAATATGTTGAATGCCATTTCGTAATGCACGGTCTTGCCTTCTTCGTTGCCGCTGATGGAATCATCATTGAGAACCTTGCCGGTCGGATTTGAATAAAGTTGGTTCGTTGGATTCGAAGCTCATCGATGGAATGGTTCTGATATGTGGAGTTGCCCAAACGATGCGTGCGGTAGGGAAGAAGATGGCTTTCTTGGTGGTAAGGCAGTTCACTGCTACGGTCCAGTGTATGCTTAGGTGATCAAAGAGTTAGTGAGCATGCTGATGGTGAAGTACGCTATTTCCCTAAGTTGGAGGTCAATCGTGGATATCAAGGGTGAGGATACAAAGAGATTAAGGGCGAGTGAAGGTTGGCCATGAGCATGGTAAGTCACGAACGGTGATTACGTGCTGATTGGGGTGGCGCACGGTTTGCATGATAGAGGAGGTGAAGCATGAAATTGCGAATGAGACGGGATTTTGGTTGATTTGTGAGGCAGTGTTTTAGCCGATCCGGTTCAATTAAGGGTTTTGGATGGATTCTTTTAGTTTAAGCGATACAAGATTATAACATGAAACCCTCGTAGAAGAATTTGATCATCAAATTTATATGTTGGCTCTAAAATAGCTACAAATATGTTATACGTGCATATAATATTTTCTTCAATCTTTTGTCTTCTCATTTTGACTGATTTTTTCAAAGCACACTGACAAAGGAAACTGATCGTTGATAAAGTAGTCAAAACTTAAGCTCCAAAATACCCTATGGTACCTCTTCATTATTCTTATTTCCTTGAATTAATAATTGTTCAAACTGAATACTATGAGAACAATCATGCACGTAATGCCCTATGTAGAGACATGAAAAATAGTATGCACTTCAATTAGTCTTGGAGGAAGGCCCAATCAATTTAAAACTTTGCCTACTCTCTCAATTACTTCAAAGTTCAAACAGTTCAATGAAGCATGGTTGAAACTTTCTACTTTTGCCAAATATGTTAACTCCATGCATAGATGAAATATTAAGAAAAACATGATCTCCAACTTCAAATTTAATCTCTTTATGCTTATGATCAAAATATACTCTCAAATGCACCTAAATTGAATCTAAATGTTCTTGAATATGATAGATTTTCTTTCTAGCTTGACCAACAATTTGAGGCCTTAAGAGTTTCCTCTCACTCACTTCAAGCCAAACGATATAGTGACATACCGATGCTATCTTGAAATTGTTATTGTAGGCTAAATCCATAAATAGATCAGTCTTTTTAGCTACTTCCAAAGTCAATAATACAAGTTTTAAAAAATTCTTTTAATGTTTGAATATTGCATTTTGGCTTATTTTCTACTTGAGATTGAAATATAATCTGGTACCCCAAAATTTATTTGCTTTTTACTACCTCTAAAGTCAATAATACAAGCTCTCAACAAATATTCTAATGTCTGAACAGTTCACTCTTATTAACCATCTATCTGAGAATAAAATGCAGTGCTGAAATCTAATCTTATATTGTAGAATTCTTGTTCTTTTTTTCTAGAGCCTTAAAGTAATCTTCCATCTCAACCAAAAATAATATTGATTGGAATTCCATGTAGTCAAATAATATTATCCATGTAGATCTTTGCTAGCTTCTGCAATAAATAATTTTACTTGATCCATAAGAATTGAGAAATCTTGGTGAGTATTTCAACTATAACTCAAATTGTATCATGATAATATTTTGATCTAGGCAATGTACTATAATCCATAATAATCTCCTCTCACATCCATTTTAAAATAGGAAGAGAGTGCAATAAACCACCAGGTCTTTTAAGTTTTTCCTTGACGATTGATAGGAAACACTTGTAGATCTCAAGTATTTCCCATCAATCTTCGAAAAACAGCAAGAATTCTCCTCAAAAAGCAGTACAAAATCACAAAAATAGTAGATAATTTGTATTATTTGATGAAATAGAAACGAAAAATATCAAGATACAATTGATCCTCTATTTGAGAGGAGGATCGATCTCTCCTAAATCTCTAGACGCCACTAGAGCCCAAAGAAAACCTAAATCTAGGAGATCTCAAATTTCAGCCAAATTCACGATGCCCTAATCCTAGGAAAACAAAGTATTTAATGCATATAATTCAAAAGAAATTCTCTAAACAACCCCTAATTTAAAATTTCCCTCCAAACTCCCTTCAAAAACTTTCCCAAAATGCTCCTTGGAATTGGGCGGCTTGCGCGCCGCGTGCAGGAGAGGCGGAGTTCTCTGCCTGTTTCGCACGGGCTAGTCCCGCGTGGACCGACTGGACCGGCCTAACAATACTCCCCTCCCAAAAATTCACCTTGTCTTCAAGGTGGAAATATGCTCATGTTCCCGTGGAGGTGGCTGCAAAATCTTACTGAATTGTTGAATCAAAGGCTGCACTGAAAGAGAAACATCCCCTCCCTCCTCTAGTTTGTTCACCTTTAGCCTGTGTAGTCCCACCAGATAATCTTCCCCCGCCTCCTGTATGCTCCTACCATGGTCTTAAGTGATGCATTGGCTTTGGATAGCTTGCATATCCCCTTATAAACATCATTCTCCCATCCACCATTCATTCCATTGTGAGTGCTACCCAATTATCCTTAGTTTCCCCAAGGTTTGCAACCACTTTCATCCTTAGGATGATATCAATACTTACTAACTCTAATGGGAGAAAATCCTCCATTGAATCCCATGGATGGTTACCACCACTAATCTACAGATCCCCTGACCTTTCTCCACCTTCCTTGTACCCATTATCACCCTATAATAATCGGTGTCTATCAATTTCACTCCCAGTTGGTTGACGACCTGAGTGAAAATGAAATTATGGGTAGCCCCACTATCAATCAATACTACCACCTCAATGCATGTTATTTCCCCCTTCAACTTCATTGTATGATTCAAAGTGATTCATACTATTGAATTCATGGAGACCTCCGCCACATCCAGATGCAACTTGTCATCCATCTCTTGCTCACCTCAGTCCATGTCTCTTATCCCTAGGGTGTCTTCCTCCACTGGAAAGTTTTTTCAGAAAACTCTATATATTCTGTGTGGATGGCAGACAGGCCTATGTTTCTTGGTTTTGATAAGACTCCTTACGAGCGTTGTTTCTATCTACTATTATCTAAAAATAACCAAGTTATTAATGACTGGGCGAAACCAAGAAATATCCCCTCACGTGCGAAATTATAGAAGATCTCCCTTAAGATCAAGCAATTCCTTCGAATTGAGTATGCTCCTCAATTTCCTCGTTATCATAGATGGTGAGAACTTGAAGAGTTCGATCCCGACTCCTATGCCCTGGAGTATACTTTTCATCACATCGGAAGCATAACCCCATTTGCCCTCTTCTCCTGCATCTCGATCTCTGTCAGCCTCTTGAAAATTTTTCCACTCTGTGATAGTATTTGGCCTCGACCAATTCATCATTGCTCTGATCATAGCAGGATTAACAAAATTCCAGCTCCACTGGCAATATGTCCATGTAATGTGTCA